AACGGCGATTCGCTACGCGCGTGCGCACGCAATAAAACGAGGCAGCCAACCGACCGTCGAACAAGCCAAGCCATAAAAGAATTTACACATGACACATACACACATAACTATATACATACATATGTATCCATACAGTGGCACACACGCACGAAACGCAGCGCAGCGTGGCAGACGTCCGYCATTAGGTGGTACCCCGTTAACTGTCGCCACCACCCTCTTTGCYGTGCGGTAGGCGTTGTGCGCGTAGAAAGCAGGTTTCCGCCGGCTTGCAATTGGCAGTTGTCGCCGTCGGCTATTGGCGGCGCGTAATTACAACGAGAATTAATGACACAGACAAAAACAAAAGCAAACAAGCAAATTGATATTCACGTGTCTATGTGTGTATGTGWACATATATGATTGTATGTATATAYAAATKTGCTTSTTGGTGTATRACAGCACAGATATTTGAATAAGCTTGACACCATTTGCGCCAATAAYGGAGGAAATRCTTAAGTGTGGCATTTTTTCACTGGCCAAATGTGTGSGGTTTGGTTCAATTCAATAAATATAAATTTTGTTTTAATTTTCAACTTTAAATTTGAAAGTATTACTTGTGAAATTTGTCTAAAAAATGCGGCTCATTGATTCAGCATAAACTGCTGAATATTAAATGTATGGGGGGACAGCACTGTTATCACGTTCAAATAGGTCAATTAGTTGAGTCAATTAGTAAATATATGGAATCAACATATTTTAAGCTAACTTACTTAACTCTATAGTTTACTTATACTAAAATTTAGCGAAAAAGTCTCGAGAAAATAGTGCAATATGCCATGGTGCAAATGTTGTTGGCCATTAATTCCAACCTGTTGTTACGAATGACTTCGCGCAAACGACGCCTAACACWCAAATAGTATTCCTTGTTGACAGTTTGKGGGGTTGGGAGGAATTCGGAGTTCATCACACCTCGATAATCGAAGATGACTGTCAACATCACRTTGATTTTTGACCTGCTTTGGCGTAGTTTTTTCGAAAAAATTGAGTGATTTTCGAATCAATCGTGCTTAATCTTATAATCTTTAAATTGGTTTTGACTGATCCTTTCGATATTTCAACATTCCCACGACAGTTATTTGTAGATCTCTGACTATTAATCGTTCAATTCGTTTATTTTATTGGCGTGTTGATCGTCAGTTGATTGCAATGGCCGTCAACACATTCTCAACCCTCTTTGAATGCTGCATGAACACTTATTCTTGGCAAACTATTATCACCGAAGTCCTCTTTCAGCATTCTGAACGTTTCGATACCAAAAATTTAGCTCCGCACACAAAATGTAATGGAACTTCTTTGTAGAATAATTTCACTCATCGTAAAAATCGCCGAATGCATTTTAAGTACTTCACAAAGACAAGAGTGTACTAAATACTAACGATTATTTTGATGTGACATTAGGCACAGATGTCACCGACAGTCATACCAACCTAAAACAAATATTATGACGAAGAGGTTTCCTTACGAAATTTAAAGTAAAAAGTCCTAGTCTCACAGTACTAGACAAGTGCTTTTGAAAATGGTAAAAAAAAAATTGAAGAAATTCATAGTAGTTTGGAACCCATCGTTCACTAAAAATAAGAAAAATAAAATATAATAACTTCAGAAAATCTGAGTTTAGTAACAATAAAAAAATAATGAAATATTTTATCAGCATTAATTGTTATTAACAACGAAATTCTGAAATTTTATGAAAGTGTTTAAACTCGGCCATTGCGACGATTTACATAT